AGGGGAAGAGTAAAGCTCAAACAAACGTAAAGAAAGTGGGGGGCAAATAGAAGGCCTGCCTTTCTTTACTTGGCTGCAGCAGGACTGCCGGTTGAAGGAGTGGAAACGCCTACCCCTCCCCTCCCCGCTCCCCGTCCTACCCTTGAGGCATCCCCCTGCGGCCTTGCACCTGAATAACTTGCGGTTGTATTCAACAGCAAAAGGCTGAATGGTGGGACGACATCACCCGTCCACGAAGTGCTGGTGGCCATCGTCACAAAACCGCGGCGTAATCCGGGGAGCGCATTTCGCCAGATCTCTTTCCCCGAGAGAGGGTCCAGTGCAAAGACACGCCCGCCGCAGCCCACAAAGAGCTTTCCGCCCTCCAGAAGTGTGTTGACGACACCATAGCCTGTCCAGGGAAGACTATAGCTCCACACCGTCTTGCCGCCATTGGCGATATCAATGGCCACGACATGTCCATATGTGCCAACGATGACGAGATCCGAGAGGCCAGGGAGAGTGCTGCCAACGCCTGCGCCATCCTCCTTGATGGTGGGCGGCGTGGAAAGGGTCGATGCGGTGCTGGAGATCGCAGTTAGGGGGCGCTGCATTAACACATCCTCAGAGAAAGAGTGTCTAGATCCGTAGTATGCCAGGCGTCCATACTCTCGTCCAGAGGCAACGCCGACAGAAAGGACCGACCTACTCGGACATGGCTGATTTGGCATGTGGATGGCGATGTCGCCATAGCCAAGCTTGGGCAGTCGGTTCCTCCATATCTCCTGGCCCACGTTCATGCTCAAGGCAATGATCTTCCCATGGCAGCCACAGATGAGCAGGCTCTCCGTCTCCACCGGGAACAGCGACACAACATACCATCTTCTCCAACCCGTGTTCCCAAGCCTCACCTTCCACACCGTTTCTCCTCTCTCTCTATCCAGTGCCAACACGTGTCCGTGGGACGCAACAAACAGGTAATCTGATATTGACTTGGCCATCCCCTTCATCACTCCCACCCAGCCAGCTTTCTGTTCTGCTCCTCTCCTCTTACTTTCTACTTTCTGCTCTTCTCAGCTCTTGCGTTGGCGTCCAAGATTATGACAGCTCACCACCTGGCAGCAGCAAAGCAAAGCCAACATCAGCAAAGACAAAGAGACACAGGGGGAGAGAGAGAAAGGGAGATATATATATATATATATATCGTCACAAACAGAACTGCCCGGTAAACCGTAGGCAGAGAGAGAGAAGAGGACAACAAACGAGGGGCTGTGACAAACTGTTTCGTCGGAGTTTCACCGACTCATCAG